AGTTCAAGCTAGAGGTCTAGGCTGATAGTTTCTTTCCATGTATCGGGGATTTTAGATCTGCTAGCAAGACAGTGAAACAGAACTGAAATGTCATAACAATAAATGACAGCACTAAATCAAACAATAAAATCAAGAATGCCCATTAGGATACAAATATTTACACTTATGAAGGCTCTCCTGGTCAGTGAGTCCATGCAGTATTCTCAGACAGCGCAGCCTTGTCTAGCAGCTTTCTGTACCTTTATCCAGAGGAGACTCCTTTCCACCCTGCTTGCTGCATTGCACCACTGATTTAGTGAAGACATCATCCTCATAAGGATGCTCTTCTAACTCACCTCTGAAATCCGCTCGCTTTTCTCCTCTGACAATTAGGTTTAAATGTGCTGCAGCAAAGTACTCATCCTTAGCCGTCGTATGGCTTTTTAAGTGATAAACTGCATTAGCAAATTCCTTATTAGATAATCTATCAAATGAGGTCATACATAATTTTAGCAGTCTCATCTTGATTTATAGCATGATCGCAGCAAATTACGCATACACAAACCAGCATGCTGGCTGTCAAAGTCAGGTATTTTTACTCTGCTAAAGAAGCTATTTCCAGACCAGTCCAGTGGCCTACTGGTAGCGCCCTGCATCGCCACAGCTCGCCCAGTTTGCAGGGGAGCCCTCGAGCTCAACCCTCACCTCTGGTTAGGGCTGAGGAGAGTTCGGGGCGGCAGTCTAAATCCTTGCTTCCTGCCTCCTGACAATAATCCTTAAGTGCTTATCCTGACAGGTTTTCCATGCTCCCCTTAAGCAGGGGCGTGGGTCTGCGGGGTGCTGATCTGCTCCCTGCCTCCCTGCTTGTTCCCAAGGGGATGAAGAGCTCGTGTGAGTGAATCATCAGGCAGCCTTGTGCTCCACAGCAGCAGTGTCTGCTCCCTGGGCCGGGCTGCTCGGGCCGGCAGAGGCTGGGTCACCCGCGCCCACGGGCACTGGAGGAGGAGGAGGAGGCAGTGCTCCATCTCCTACAGCCATCTGCATTGGGAAGCCGTGCCACCTGCAAGCCAAAGAGATGAAATTCAGGGAAAACGGGAAGGAGCTTTGGGAGGGAAGGCTGGTTTTGAGCTGTGCTTTGCTGCCTCTGTGGCACGTCTGCTGGGTCCAGCCCCCACTCCCCAAGTAAATTGCTCCTGGGATCCAGAAGGGACATGATTCCTATCCCCCAGCTTCAAACTTCTTCTGCAAATGTTTCATCCGGGGAGATTTATCTGTAGCTACCATAGGGGGGAGCTGCAATAAATTATCTAGTCTTGCCTTTCTCTTCACCTGCTCTCACCTCACATGGGTATTTCTAGGGTTTGAGCCGTGTGAAGTGGCCAGAGTAGATGTCATCTGCATGTTTCTGAATAAGTTATGTGTCTCACGCTGGACTTATGGCCAAACCCTGTCCATAAAGCACAAAGTGGGAAGGAACAAGATGTGTTCCTCAACATTCTAGCTATCCCAAAACTAAAATAAAAACTAAATGAAAATTGGAATAAAAATTTCCCCAGGAGATATGAGATTGTAGAGGCTTAATTTATTGCTGCATGAAAACTTCTTCAAACACTTAACGCAAAGACCTCCATGATGTCTTTGCAAGAATATTCCTGGAGTGAGAGACTGGAAGTAACCAAAATCCTTTACCAAAATGAGTATGCAAAGGGCATGCTTGCAGTGGATGGCACTGCTGGTTGACGCACTCTATGGTAATTTTGCCTAATCCTACTCAGTGAGTTTTTCATGCATATACATGTATATTTGTATGCATAACTGTCATAGGTAAAATTTATTGTATCTTCAGTTGACAAGCTGTGTGTGGCTGATTGCAGCAGGGCTTAGGGAAAAAAAAATCATGACCCAGACTGAGAATATAGAACTTCCCTCCAGAGCACATCAGCTGAAATAGCAATTGCACCTCCTCCCCATGGTACCACTGTGAGTCTGGGGTCCCTCTTCCCACCCCTCTTTTAACCCCTGCCAGGGGGGTCTGAAGATGCAGCAGGGAGGATGACGAGAAGGAGTTTGTTTCTTTGTGGTGCAAATACAGGACGAAAATTGGGTGAAGGAGTGCTGGGGTCGTGCCAGCCCCACGGTGAGGCCATGCCGCAGGATGGAGAGGGGTACATGGGCAGATCTTGGTGCAGAGGGGGAAGACATGCCCCATGCACCCGAGGGAGGGCGGGGGGCTTACAGACCCCGCAAATGGCAGCTCCTGACCTGGGTCTGAGCTGCAACGGCTTATTCCTCAGCTGCCGCTGAGCAGCAATGACCAGAACCGTAGCTGGAAGTATGCCAGAAAGTCTCCACCACTGCAGAGGGCACCGGGCTCCCCGAGAGCCCTGCCTTGCCCCCTCGCTGCTCCAGGACCCCCAGGGCCAGCAGGGGAGGGGGCACAGCCCCTTCTCCCCACTTTGCCTTCGCAGGGGGCTCCTGGGAGAGCAGCTGTGCCACCCCCTGGGCTCCATGGGGTGGGGGTCCCCCAGGACCACCCCCCCCTTAGCAGCCAGCAGCCCCGGGTTGGCCGCTCCTTCTCTAGACCTGCCTCTGCAGAGGTGTTTGCAGCCATTGGCACGGGCGCTGCGGAGCCGGTTGCCTGGCAGCAGCAACGCGTCCTCTTCCCCATGACAAACATCATCTCCATCGACCCAGACCACCTCCCGCTTCAAGTGTCTGCCCAAGCTGGAGAGCCCGGTGGCGGAAAAACGCAGCTCACCAAAAGGAGCCCAGCAAGCCCCATTTCGCCCCCAGGGTGGTGCGGGGACCCTGGCACCGGGCAGCTGCCCCACGGGTGAACTCATCCGGCTCTGTAAGCAAAATGCCCTTGTGCTCTGCAATTCAGCCCGGATTAGCACCAAGAGAACAAGCCCCCTTAAAGAAACACATGCTAATTAGCATGCACAAACAGCCAGCTTTCTAGAAAGTAGAAGAAAATGTAACAGTGAAGCTAAGCCCGAGCTCTGCCTGCTTGTGTCTGGGTCCTCAGCTCCTGCTGAAAACACGCCGATGTGTTTGATGTGCTCAAAGAAGGCAAAGCATCGTCTCCCAGAGCAGGGAGCTGCTCCGGGTCTCTCTGGCTTCCCAGGCGTGTACAGTGTCTCCCTGCTCCCAGCCCCTCTGCTGCTCCAACTCTGCTGCTGGGTATCGCAGCCGTCACAGGGTTATGAGTTTGAGAGACATAAAAATTACCAGCTTCAGAGATATCCACCTTGCTTAAAAGAAAGAAAACCATTATGAGTCAGGCACATTCCCCGCTAGCAGCCTACTGAAGAGAGCTGTCTTCTGCGAAGGGGTGGAGGACAAGAGGCTGCCTGATGAGCGCTCCAAGGGTGAGGGCACAGGCTGAGAAGGGGAAGACTTAACTCCATGCCACCACAGAGCAGCTGCGGTCGGCATGCCATGGTGTTAGCACTGTGCAGGGACCACATGCGAGAAGGAGCTGGTGGACTCTCTGCCCCAGGGCCTGTGGAGTACTGCAGGGGCATGGGTTTGGGCTGCCCAGGCTCTGGGAGAAGCTAGGTTTGTTGGAAGTGTGAAGGGGCTCAGCTCTGATGAGCCCCACACCACCACAGCTGACCTCTGCTTTGCAAGGTAGGGTAGGTAGCTCTATGCCAGGGTACAGCTGCTTGCAGAGACACAGTATTATGAGACCCTTTTTTCCTGTCCGCAGGAAGGCTGACATCAGTGTGGCCTATCAGTCTTTTTCTCAGCCTACTTTGGAACAGAAGATTTGTCCTGAGGAGGCTCAAGCTACATGAAAGCAGGCAGAGCAGGTGAAGAGGCAGCTCTCTCCTGACTGTGACTGCTTGACATGACATGGGAATGAGCATCATGCCATCAAGGAGCTGCAGCTCCATCCTCTGCAACACCAGCATCAGCCCTCCCCACCCAGGATGGTGGCCATGGCTCAAGGGAGCCAAAGCTGGGGCAAGAGGAGCCAGGCAGAGACTGGCCAAAGAGAGGTCCACGGCAGCTTGGCTGTTTTCAGGTGAAGAGGGAAATCTCTAGTGGGTGCTGCACGAGAGGAACTGTGGCGCAGTGGGCAGGGGTATAGCTGTTGAGGTAGGGAGGAGGGTGGGGAGGAAGGGCTGCTATTTAATTGCCAGCCCCAGTTCTATCAGCAAATACGAGGATGAGCTGTCGCTGGTGTGGAAGGTAGCAGATGGCCTAATTGTGAGATTCTCCCTTGCAAGAGCAAAATGATATACTGTTTTTAACATCTTTGCCTAGAGCTGAGTGCTAGCTTCTGATACTACCAAGATATACTGTACAGAGGCACTTTGTGCCAGAAATGTGCTCTAGTGATAATCAAGAGAAAACTGTGCTTGAAGTGACATTTAAAAAATAATTATTATGGCCCATTGCTGTTAGTCACACATCCCAAAAGCTGATCTGGATAACAGAGCTTTCCAAAGCATCTTCTGCTCGACATATCATCTGGAAATTATGCCATCATTGTGTCACCGTGTCTCGCCTTGTAACCACCAGGACACCATCTATGTATGTGCACCATTTTTCAATTCCCCCTGTCTTTTCTCATGCTGCTTCAGCTGGTTTCATGCAGGTTCTTTTCTCAGCCATTTGCTAAACTTGCTTTCCCAGAGACAGCTGTGAAGCATCTCCATCATCTCATCTCTCTTTGTGCAAAGTCCCAGGTGGCAGCAGCAGCAGCAGCAGCAGCACACGTACTGCAAGCCCAGGGATCTCTCAGAGCGTTTGTCCCTGGCCATTCATTGCACACCCAAGGGTTCCAGTCCCTGCCCAGCAAACGTCTGAAAGTGTGTTACTCATTGTGAGATAGCCTAAAAATACACCGATATCTGCGTAAAACTGCAGAGGGAAAATTACTTCTCCTGTCCCTGTTCACTGAAGGCCAAAAACGTTCAAAGCTGGTCCCCTGGCCCTGCCCCTCGCCTCCTGCCGCAAGCCAGGGGCGTCCAATGGGGATGCGGCCGCCACCACCCCCACCACCACCACCACCACCACCACCACCACCACCACCACCAAGAAGGTCCAAGGTGCCCTACAGGAGCTTGATGCTCTGTAGAACTCCAGGCCTATAGGCAGAGATGAGAGAGCCCACCTGTGTCATGTTAACATCTACTGAAGGTGCAGCATTGTTACTGGTGAGTCATGACAGCAGGTGTGTTTTGTCAGTGGCAGCTCTGACAGGGGAGATGGCAGCACCTCTCTCAGCTGGGTCAGGTTTTCAGAGAAAACTCTGGCAAGGGCTTAGTGGGAGAGAAAACTTTATTCTCCATTTGAGGATAACAGCCCTTCTCTTGTTGATTTTTTTAGCAGGCCACTGGATATATTTTTAAGCACTTTTGCCTGCTGAATATAATGTGCTCTCTTTTCCTGTTAGTCCTGTAAACTACATCATGTTTGTTGGGGTGTTTTGGTAATAAAAGGGATTTAATGGGTTATCTGTAAGCTTTGTCTCCAAAAGTATTAGGATGTATTAAATCTTCTTTAAAATCTACCTTTCTCTTACTATCCATCATCACAAGACTCTTATCCATGCAGTAAATATTTATGCTGCAGCAGTCTGTCCTCCCTTGCCTCCTCTTACCTTCTTCCCCCCTGTTTGCTCTGAAGTCTCCTGCTAAAATTCCCACACCTGTGACACACCAGCCCATTTCTCTCAAATCTCACTGATTTCACATCTCTCTCAGCCTTCAATTAAATCTCCCTGTCTTCCCCTTCAAGGTTCTCTGTAATGTTACTTTGCCTTTGATCTCGTTCCTCCCACTCCTCCTCCTGCCTGTACTCCCCCAGTCATCCCTCCTTTCTGCTCATTTTATCTTGCTCTTGGATGGTTCAATCTTGCTTTTTTCTGTTCCTCTGACACCTCAATCCATCTCCCATTTTCTATTAGCCAAATATTTTCCCTCTTCTTCTGTCAACTCTACCTTAAATCCCTATCTTTTTCTTCCTTGCTAGCACTAACAGCCCACACACGCTCATGCAGAGTCACCTGAGCTGCTGTCCCATGTGGTTTTCCTGGAGTGCATGTTCTTCACACCAGGAATTCGTGGTTCTCCTACAGTGCACACCCCACAGATACAAACACACGAGGGTCTTTTGAAGAGCAGCAGTTGATGGTAAGTAACCATTCATTATTAATCCTGTTACTCATATGATACACAGAAAAAAACCTAAGCTTTCTCTAGCTAGGTAAGAAGAGGAATCATTTCTATGTTGATGTGAAGGCACAGTTTTGATGCTCTAGCTAAAAATGCATATTATAAAACGTAGAGGGACTTAAACTTCCTATAGGCAGCAAAGCCATTTGAGGAAGGTAAATAAGCAGCAGGCTATTAGAAGAGGGTTTGGGTCTCGCTTCTCTGTATTGCCCTGCGCTACCACATCACTGCTGGCTGCGTTCAAGTTGCCTTTAACATCTTTACATTCCTGCACATGACCAACAATAGGGACTAGCTCCCTTACAGGAGAGGAAATATAGCAGCAAGTGTCTCACATCCATTTCTCAACTGTCATCAAATAGCTTTTATTCATGGCATAGCACAAGTGTCAGCCAACTGGCACAGGCAGCCTATATTAAAAATGTTGGGGATTATTCATGTCAACAGACACAAGGGAGCTTTTCTCAGTCAGTGGATCTGCACTAGCGGTGGTATGAAAATGCAGCAGGTCCTCTAGAGTAATCTCAAATCTGAATAACTTCAGAAGGAGGCCAACAGCTGACTGTCACTTGCAAGCACAATTAAAAAAATCACCTAGCACAATTAGACAAGAGCTTGGGTACGTGAGAGGTTTAACTGTGTGGATAGATAGAAAAGCTGTACCGTAAGGATGTTATATACAAAGGCTAAGATGATATTTTTTAAAAAATGCTCAGATTGAAGATGCTGTGCAGGTTGAGAGCTGGTGGTGGCTTATCAAGTTTGTGTCTGGTTATGTAATTAGCTGATAGGTCCTTGGCCTGTTTGATTGCAGGCATTTACTGCACTATTTGGAATATGATTTCCATTGGCCACGTGATCTGTCTTTTACGGAGAAGGTGTGATTTAGAAATGGCTGATTCTTTCTCCTTTTAAAAGATTTTTAAAAAAATAAATACACCATTTAACTGAAAATACCTGTTATTAAATTTGTGAGACAATAAGCAGAAAAAAAATAAGGTAGACACAATAAGTAAAGTTGTTTACCTTAAAAACATCAGGTAAATGTGGAAAATGATGGAGGTTTCAGATGTCTCAGGTTAAGGTTCCCCGACTGGTTATTTCAGTCCCACTGTATCATATTCTGTCATCTCACATTTATTAATTCTTGCTTTTAAAACATATGGCCTGCTTCTTTTCCCTCTCAATTATTTTTGAGTAGTTTAATTCTCTGAACTTGGTGATGTTATGCGGATATAAAATCAGGAGCAATTTAAATGGAAAATAAAAAAATAAGGCCCATGCAAGTTATCATGAAAAAGGTGACCTGATCTGCTCTGACACAGATCTATGTTCCACTTATTCTCTGGAAAACTTTGGATACTATATTTTCATCAAAACCTAATTTCTGTACAAACGTGTGATGCAGAAGAAATCCAACCGGCAAAACCCTCGGATGTATCCCATGGCATCTCCATGACAACATATAGACGCATATTGTGCTATACATCGTTATCAGGAGACTAACTGCTCCTAGGCTTTTCCCACATCGAGCTGCAAGGCAGACCTACCAACAGGGTAGCTGGCTGCAGAGGACGTTGCTGGGATTTAAATGTGGAAACCACAGATTGTGATCCATGCTGGGTAAACCGGAGGCAAATGGAGCAGCCTTCCTGAAGAGGCGAGCCCTGCGCTACAGCTTCCCTTCCTGGGGCTGCTTGTTCGAGTCAAGGAATGGGCACTGGCAGGTCTCCAACGTGTCTGAAAAGTCACGTGGAGGACCTTTGCAGGGTTCTCAAAGTCTTCCTGAAAGGCCGTTAGTGCAATTTACCAGCAGAGTGAGATAAGAACGGAAGGTAATTTGGGTTAATGAGTTATCCTGAGAGGTTTTTATTTTTTTCCCCACACATGCAGAAGGAAAGGGAGAGCGATCCTGGCCTCCCTCCCTGGTGGAGAACTCTGAACCCTGGGGCAAGAGCTTCGCCCTCCGCTCGCTGGCAGTGCAGAGGAGCCAGGCTCAGCAGGCCAGGCCAGTGGCGCATGCAGCCAAGGCTTTTCCCAGATGGGCAATCCGTTCCTCATGGGCAAAGGATTAGACTAGGACCAAGAAAAGGAACCTGCCACTCCGTGGGGGTGGGAGGGCATGAGGAAGGGGAGTTATCTCCCCTCTTGCAGTCCTCAGTGTTTACTGCACTGGATTTAATTGCTCCGTAACTTTCATGTTAAATCACACAATAAATGTTTCCGTGCGGTTTACTTGCTTCCCAGAGGGGTTAGGAGTGGGACCTTGGGTTGATGAGTGGTCCCATGGGGTCAGGAGCCTGGCTCTTTCCCTCGGGCTGCTCTGCAGAGGGACAGACCCTGCACAGCTACAAACACCGTGCCAGATCAGCCTTCGGCATCGGCGCCACAGCTCCCAGCTGCATCCTGGGGCTGGAGAAGTGTGGTGAGGATGCACCAGCTGGGACAGGTGCACAGCGATAGATTAGTCCCTCTCCGTGGCAAGGGGGTTGGAACTAGATGATCTTTAAGTTCCCTTCCAAACCTCAACCATTCTATGCCTTTCTTCCCAACCTGTCCCCCCTCGGCTCCTTCCCCCAGCTCTGGTGTGGTGCACACCGTTCCACTGAAGGTGAGCACCTCGCCTTCCCGGCGGCGGCCGGGCACGGGCGGCCGCTCCTGCGAAGCAGCTGAAGTGCTGTAATTTCATACTCCAGCTGACGGTGCAGGAACTGGCTCCTCTGCCCGTCCCCGAGCGCAGACACGGTCCTGGCTGCCGCAGGCGCTCTCGGCGCGGCCGGTGGGGCTGAATCAGTGTTTAGGAAACGTTCCTACTATAAACAGGGCGGTGTGTGTAAAACTGCCCGAGTGCAGCAGGACTGGCCTTTTCCTAATTGTTTCTCATTTCTGGGCTGGGGGAGTCGTCTTCTGCGCTCCTACACCTCTCTAAGTAAGGCACCTTGGGCAACTTTCCTCCACTCTCCACTGCTCGGCTTTCCTTTCTGAGAAATGGAGATAACAATTTGACCTTCTTGGTAGAGCACTTCTCTCTCTCTCTCTCTCTTTTTTTGTTTTTTTTTCTTTTTATGACACATGCTGCACAAAAGCTGATTGTTAGGTTTTGTTGGGCTATAAAAAGTCCTCAGCCTGACAGTGGGGCATGTATGTTATCAGCCATAAAAAGACTCTTACACTGATCTTTAGCATTTAGGGATAGACCTTTGTTCTGCTTAGTTACTTATAATCCTCGGAGTGGTGTGGGTTCATTTTTTCTGTTGTTTGAATTTCACTCTTTTTTTTTTTTATTATTTTTTTTCCCCTGCCCTTTGTGTGTGTATGTATTGTGTACATATAGTTGACTTTTGCTTCTCTTAGGGCCAAAGATCACTTGATTTAGCTCAACTTACAGATGTCATTTGGCATCAGCCAAGTGACTAGCCTGTGATCTGCCATTCAGCACATTTCCTCTGAAATATAAGGGAAAATAGTTTGCCAACAGACAAGAAATGGAATAAGAAACCACTGAACCAGAAAAGAAAGATTATGATCCACAAGAAATAATCTCCCTTTCCTTCAGCACATACTCTACAAACATTTTATGCTGTTGGTCAGCGCTTGTCCATATGCTGCAGATAGGTTATGATGGTAAAGGAAAAGGCTGTATTTCCCTTTACATAACCTCTAAAGAAGAAGAAAAATTCCCTTTTTGTCCACAGGGCAACCAAAAGCTTTGTCTCCAGCCTGGAGAGCTCGGTGCGAGGGTGGCAGTGTTGAGTGCCCAAGTTCAGATGTTATCTGGGCATGATGGAGCTCAGGAATCTTCAGGAATCTTCAGATGGTTCCCCTTCAACAGTATTTGCACTGTAGTGTCTAGCTATGCACGTCAGGAAGATGGAGACAGACAAAAAGCCATCACAGATAATACCAGTTCAAAGTAAAGATAAGAGCAGGAGCAGCGAAGTCAACTCCCAAAGAGGTCTCCATGACCTCATACCTCTCGTTCTGAAAAGCAGCTGTGACTCTGTCTGTGAATGACAGTGGGGTGTACAAAGTGTGGGGAGCCCCTGGTGCTGGGCTGGGTGATACTGGTGCCTCAGCTCTCCAGCTAGGGTCCCAGCAGTAGTGATGGGATGGTATTTGCAACAATGATGACTGAGTTTAGGGTGTTTCCAGAAGGACTGAGTGCATCCTGTGGGCTTGGGCTGATGTTCTTGACAGACGTCAACCATTTGGTTGAGAACAGAATAATTAACCATTCTTTAGCTTGCAGGTAACTGAAACAATTGGAGCTGGGCAGGCTCCCTGGAAGGCTCTGTTGGGAGTCTGAACCGCACAGCAAGGTGGCTTGGTTAGGGGCTAATCTACCCTTTAAAGTAGAGAGCCACTCGATCGCAGCAATAATGGTCTATATATTTCTTAAGAAAAAGTTCTTCATATTTTAAAGACTTTGGTAATAAATACATGCAAGAGTTGAAGGCAGCAAAGATTTGGATAGGCTATTATTCTCCAATCAATTCAATTTTTAAGCCTTAGTTAAAGAATGCTAATTTTAAATGAGATACTCTTCTGATCATTTCTACAATCGAGGGGATGTAAATTCACATTCGTAATGAATGCTCTTTTTTTCATATTTGATTGCAGTAATCCAAATGATCCTATTTAATATCAAGGACAGAGCTAGTATCTATTTTTTGATAACTGCTTTGCATAGCATACTCCACACAGTTAAAATTTTTGGAGAATGGTTTTAGAAGATACATCTCTTTGGTAGGACAGTCCTGGTGGCTGGAACAGGCACCCCCTGCAGACAGAGCTAAAAGTCGCAAATTTCAGGTTCTTTGTATTTTGTTCTAATAATCTTTTACCGCATTGTTCTAACTTCAAGCATCATCTGTTCAGACTTCAAAGAATAAGCCATGCTTATTTTACCTGTCTCCTCTTTTTAGCTTTCACCTTCTCCTGTTGTCAGAGCTGGCAGG